AATATATTCCAAATCTATTTCAGTATTTGATGACTACTAGGTGACCTCTTCCACAAACTGTAGGCGAAACTGTACATATCCTTGAACAGGATGTACACAGTGCGCAGTGTTAAACCTTGAATTCCAGTGTAGCATTCACTCGTTTAGAAAATTGTTCGGCAATTGGGCAACTTTTTTAAAACCGTCACTCGTTTAGAAAATTGTTCGGCAATTGGGCAACTTTTTTTAAAACCGAAGGCTACCCTTTCTTTGAGTATAAACTTTAAAGAAGGCGTAATTTGCTATCAAACAAGTGCAACAAATAATTTTCTCGTGCATGTTTTTCATAAAATATATTTCAATTTATAAAGGCAGTCTTGATAAAAAGGCATACTACTTAAGTAGTCAGTTTTTACAATAGATACGTTTTCGTAGGAGCTATACTACTTAAGTAGTCAGTTTTTACAATATATACGTTTTGCTAGGAGTCGGCACGAAGACTTAAGTAGTCAGTTTTTACAATAGATACGTTTTGCTAGGAGTCGGAACGAAGCTCTTTAAAAAGCCGGCTTCCTATCCTGACTGAAATGACTTCAGAATACACTACACTATATCAGTATCACAACTGGAGTCAATTCCGATTAGCGAAAGAGTATTAGTCTTTCGCATATGTCGAAATAATGCATGATCAACGGCGTCTACTGTACTATCAATCCCAGGACTTCGTTGGAACTAAAAAGCATTAACGTCAGTGGATGAACGCGTTGATAATAGGTGTGTTTCCATGTTTTAGGACAACAACAAACAAATCGATGAAATTGTTGCCATGGTGCGAGGCAAACTGTCCAAACAGAACCGAACCACGCTGCAGGCGCTCATCGTGTTGGCTGTACATGCGAGGGACGTGTTGGCTGAGCTGATCAACTGTGGCGTGGCAAGTGATACGGATTTCGCCTGGCTCAGTCAGTTGCGCTACTACTGGGAGGGCGACCAACTTCTCACCAGGATGATCAACTCCTGCCTCCCGTAAGTTTTAGACACTTTCTAATCAATGCGTTGGTTCCCTTTTGCGGGTTTAATCCGGGGAAGGGGAGGGGGGCACATGTGGGTCATCGTGAAAATTACCAAAATTATAAAACTTTCCCGAATTCCTTTGAATTGTATGAAATATTATCATATTACCAACTGTTCCGTCTCTAAACTTCAAAACATCGGAATAACTGTTTTATTGTTCGTCTGGGAGCGAGTGGGCAGCGAAGTCTGGACAATAAAACCCTTCGGCAGCGGTGCGTTGTGAGCGGGTTAGCCATTATTCGGGTCAGTATGCGGGGGTGCGTGTTGGGTGTCAAACAGACAGTCTGGGGGAAATAAACACAGGCAGGCTGGCCTATGCGCGTAAGATAGCCTTGTCTGCCAGCGTGACCTTG